TTAAAATAAGGCTGGTGGCATGCGGAGGAAAAGATGTTCAAAAAGGGCTTCCTTTGGTCTTGAGGGCCAGAATCGGCATTTGGGAGCTCATTGTGCATCTTCAAAGGGATATATAAGCTATATATTTTGGTTCGTGGCTTGTTCAGAGCCCGCTACAATAACAGACGAAATGACAATGTTATTGCACCTATACTACACATATATATCTTGCAAAAAAACTTGGTATTTCTTTTCCACAGTTGTTATTTTGTCTTGCGTGAAATACTGTTATAAAGAGGTCGTATATATGAAAAAGCATTACATAACAGTACTTGTAATTTTAAGAACCGGTTGAGTAAAACCTGAAAAATACATACGGTCACAATTTGCAATATCCAATGGAGGGCAGACGGGCGGTTTTTGAGACTCGTTTTACTGTCACCTTCCCAGCAGTATCCCTTGTCCTGTCCACATGAAGGTGTTTACTTTGAAAAACATGGTTAACTTTTGAGCTGTGCACACTCATGCACGCCGTACCCGAACAGCATAGCAGAAATACCGATCATTTTCTTGAAACTCACAGACCAGGTAACCACTGACTAGTTATTAAAATACAGTTTAAAGAAAATATGTCAAATTAAAACAGTTACAGAATCAAATACACGTTTAAAATAAAAATAACCTATTATTCACTTAAAAAAATATCTCCATCCATCCATAGGCAGCACAGGATACAAGGCAGAGGACACCATAAATGAGAATACAAATAACGGTTAACCTTTAAAAGCTGAGACAAATTACAAGACGGAGATGTTCGAAATAAAACAGGGCAAAAATCATATTTTCCCATCAAGACCTGGGGCTGACCGTCCTGTTAGAGATCGAGTGACCGCTGTAAGGACTCATCTCACCAGAAAATTGATCGAGGGCATCTGATTACGGCTGTCCTTCCGCTGGGGGGCACTAGGTGGCGATGTTATTTATATAAATTATAAGTGCACAAATTACAAATCTCATAATGTCCATGAAATTAAAAAAAACAATTTGTGAAAAGCGTACAGATCCAACTGGAAAATATTCGTTTTTAGGCCGTTTCTCATTGTTTACATCGAAGGTTGTCGCAGTAACTACTAATAGTAAATATTACAAATGACAAATATTAAACACATCACATGCAATGTAATAATAATCACTGCCGGCTTCTAATATTATAATGTAGGACCTCGGAGCTCCCTTGTTATTATAGCAAGGAAAAAAATACCAAGGAAATGTATTTCCTTTCATGTATTGTTATGGCAATAGCCTACAAAAATGATCACATTTTGACCAGAGACCAAATTCCCCTGCGCCATCATACAGCAGTGTTGACGACCTTTGTCTGGTTTGTTTACTTTGGGTGGAGACGAACAATAAAAACTAGAAATAATGCCTGCGGGAGGCACACACCTTATAGCCTGTAGTGGGGAGTGAGATGCTCGATCGCCGCTTTGAAAGAGCAGAGAAAAACTTTGGTAAACTGGTTAACTTGAAATGTGTTAAATTGCTGATTTCATGAAAGGACTGGACGAATGAGTAAAGATAGGAACTTGCGCAAATATTCATAGGAATACTTGAACATTTAAAAGGATAACGTAAGTAAAGATTTTATACTTTAACACTAACCAGATTACCTCTTTCATCTTGTGAAACAATGCTTTCCTATAGTTGATACTTTAATCAGCGGATGCCTTGGAAGTTATTCTGCATTTGGAATGGAAGGAAGCCACCAGAAAAAAATCTTATATAACTTTCGTAATGGGCTTAGCGTTAGAACGTCTAGAACGGATGGTAAATAGTATCACATGATATATATATAAGTTGGCTATCGTCTTTGATGTTTAAGTGTTTGGGTTTTTACTATTTTGATTGTACAACACTTTGTTTCAACTGCGGTTGTGTGCTATAGAAATAAATTTGAAATAAATAAATTTGAACAAATTTGAATTGATTCATAAGGAACTGAAGATTTAAACAAATTGACTTAATACCTGACTACATCAGTAAAATATCCAGCAGTATGAATGGATGACCAGCTTACGCTTCTTTACGTAAAATATACCATGTCCGTCCGTGTTTATGGACTTTCACAGATAATGTTCACAGACGCTAAACAAAAGGCCCATAAGAACACAAATATTTAGGCACAGCCTACGTAATAATCAAGACGAGCGGTTTTTTTGAGCTGCGCGTTGTTATAAGCCAATAAGAATATAACACATACATGCAAGCACAAATAAACGTGATTATGTAATAGTAATCAAGGGATGAGCACCTTCTTGAGCAACGTGTGTTTTATTTGGAATACATAGTAATATAACAGGAATGTGTATTTGTGTGTCATAACAATAAAGATAATTACTTTGTCAAAATAAAGAAGCGCTAGGCAAAAAAATAAAAAATAAATAAATGAAAGACAAAAACACTAAATAGGCATTTTGCCAGCACATTAGACGGAGATGAAGTTTATTCTGAAAATATGCGTGGGTGTCCGATGCGATCATAGTGGGCGGGGCGGGGGGATTCAATTGGTACTATACGGTGCTCATTAAATTCCTCTACTAGTGCCATTACACAGGTGTGTGCTCTGATAAATAGATTAGTTATCTGGAAAATTAACGAGCCAGACCACAGTAAGCAAATTAACAAACCACGCCCGAGTAAATGATATACAGTGTAGTGATTAAAATACTGCGCTGTATCGAAATGTTTAAATATTGTACATTTCGCATATGGTGTCATGAAGGAAGCTGTCATTAAAATAGTCGACATGTAAAACAGTTATGTCCGAAGCAGATTAAATATGCGTATTTGACAATCCGCAATTTTATATCAATGTTGTGCAATGTGTGTGTAATGTCTGCAACAACGCGCATGCGCAGGAAAATGAACTCAGAATGTAAGTAAAATGCGTCCTTTACGTTCACGCAGTATTATATAATAACACGATGGACATAGCCTTACGTACCTGTAAAACATCTTTATGTGACTTACATTTGGCGTTAGCTGAAATCCAGTTTGTAGGGACATGTAACCATCACTTAATCACTTGCATTTAAAGGAAATAATACTGCTGCCTCACAGTAAGAAGGTCCTGGGTTCGATCCCCGGGTCGCCTAGGGTGCCTTTCTGTGTGGAGTTTGCATGGTCTCCCTGTCCATGCGTGGGTTTCCTCCGGGTGCTCCGGTTTCCTCCAATAGTCCAAAAACATGCAGATTAGGTCAACTGGCTACTCTAAATTGCCCATAGGTGTGACTGTTGGCCCTGTGGTGGACTGGCGACCTGCCAAGTGAACTCCACCTCTCATCCAAAGATGCTAGGATTGGCTCCAGCTTCCCCGCGACCCAGATGGATAAAGCGTTATAGATAATGGATGGATGGATGAATACTTGGCATAATTTCGAGAGATTTCTAATTAAATTTTGGAGACATCAAGTGCACAAATTCATTTAGCAGTATACAACGTGTACGGGCTGGGATCGTGGCTCAATGGCATCACACCTTAAGGGTTTGGGGTTTGTATCTCGCCTCTGCTATGAGTAAGTGGAGTTTGCACGTGTTGCGCAAGTTTCCGTCCACAGTCCAAAACATTCAGATAGGCTAAACGATATTTCTAACTTACCTGTAGTTTATGACTGCGTGTGTGCGCCCTGCGGCAGACTGTCATCCCCACCCACGGTGCAGCTAGCCTTAATTGTGCTGCCTGGAAGGTTAGCCTGACTAAGTTTATTTTACTATTTAGTATTGTTGGAAAAAAGTACTTCATTAGTTTGTAAAATGGGCCTAGTTACATGCTATACGGTGTACTAAAAGGAAGTCATACTTTTAATATTTACAGCTGACGCACCTCGTGTTACACAAGTCCAAGATAGTATAATAATTAAGGGACACGCGATTGTAATATCTTACTCCTATGTGTTGCACAAATGCTAAAAATGGGAGCAGTAATGTTGACCATTTTGTAAGCAAACAATAGTTAATCACCTTGCCACAGCTGTATTGTATTTTATTGAACGTGAATTGTGATCCCAGATAGCACACATATGTTGAGATGAAATTGATTCCATATCAGACAAAAAGGTTGAAACAACGTTGATCTTCAATCTTTCACTTCATATCAACATTGAATCAAGATTTTGCCACCATCGATTTTTCAATATTGAAAATCAATTCAGTTTCAAAGTTGATAATTTGACACTGACCATAATTCAACGTTGATACAATAACATGGTGCTATCTGAGATGGCTGTTGCCGTGTGTGCCGTGAATATTCTGACACATGAACTTGGAGTGATTGGGGTTTCTAATAATGAGTTTTATAGAAATTGTTTTTAATAAATGCTTTTTCTTTGTAGCCAGTAGCCTAGTGCTCTTTAGTTCAGAATATTTATTATAATTTGAATTAAGTTTATTTTGCGTCATGGAAATCGAGACGTGGGCCGTTATACGACTCCACATTATTTAAATAAGTCTCTTAAGTCTCCTTTTCTATTTTGCTTAATTCATTTCTGTAGCAGAATCTACTGAATTGAAATTGCATTTTTGAATTAGATTTTTTTTTTGAAGAATCCCCTCTGGTGCATTTGCTGTGGGGTTATTTGTGCGAGGACGGGAGCCAGTGGGTCGAGGAAAAAGAAGCATCCGCCGATAAAGTTATTTTTCCCGTCTGGTTACGTTTCTCTTATCTGAGAAAGCGTACTGTGAATCGACTGCAACTATGACTGACCAATCATCGAGTACACCGATTAACGGAATGGCCAATAAGCGAACAACTTTCGTGTTCACCAGCTCAGTACAGCGATGAACAGTGTATCAAGATCGGCATGGCGGGCCAAGATAGATTACTGGTGGGATATTTCCACCTTCAGCTTCACTGAGTAAAGTCGCCGCGTACAGGAAAGTGTCGGTGCAACGTATACATATCCATATGATGATTACACATTTGTGAATTCATGCAGAAGGTAACCGTGGTTTGTATTTTAAATATTTGTCTTGGTTGGTTTGCGCCGGCGGTTCGCCATTTTACTGACGGCGACAATCGCACTGCGGCGCAGAGTCGGGCATCCACTGTCTTGCGGAAGATCTTGGGATAACGTGACCGCGGTAAAGGAAGGTTCATGGAGGGGTAGATGGAGTACGAAGGCACTACAGTGTGGCTTTTTGCCGAAGAGTGGACTCCGGGAGCCGAGTGAAAGTAGACAGCTCTGCCGGCTGTTTAGGCACCCTGACGGGTCATTCACCCTTCTGCGGAGGTGAGCTACCGGTGGCTAACAATGCCTAGCCGGTTAAGTGGCTTGCGAAACTCCTCGTCAGGCTGGATCCGGCTTGGGGCGGTTTGAGCTCACCAGCCGAGCCGGAATAATGCTGCTAAATAACACCAAATTGGCGCCAAACTCTGTATTTATCGACATCCATAGTTATACGCGTTAGAGTGTAACTGGCTTTAAAAATCATGTTAGCTGCGCTGTCTATGGGTATTTGGTAGCCTGAGGGGCAAAAACCCGGTATGTACTTTCACTGCTTGAGCTTTTTTAACTTTTGTTTTTGCGAGGATGATTAACGTTACCGGCAGGACTATGATAAATCGCACTGTCAGTCTTTAAATGCTGGTGTTTTGCCATCGCCGTGTTTTAATGCTGATATTTTACCATGGTGACGTGTCAGCTTTTGCTCAATTTTCATGAGACCCACTGGCACCTTATGTTCATCGGTCTGTTGTGTGCCCAACCTAAAATTATTTCTCTTACGATTTGACGGGCAGCGCTATAAGCTGTATGACTTTAGTTTTAAGTTTTTTTTTGTGCCACATACACAAGTTATACTCCGTGCAGTTTGCAATGAAATGCATGGTTCTCTAACTCAAAGACTGGTGATATAAGTAAAAAAAGGCACACAATTATAAAGAGACTAGTCGTTAGACATTAGCCAATAAACATTAAACAATAATCATAAATAACAATAGTGTCTAATTGGTTGTAAAAGTGACAGGTGGTGCAAAGGAGTAAAAAGTAATGGTTACATGTGTAAATTGAGCAGCCTGTTGATATATTGCTAAGTTGCTTACTAGACGCATATTTTGTCTTTATTTTTACATAGCTGGTTGTTTTAGTGGAGCAATTCAGCCTAAATACCCAGTTCAAGGGTACAACAGCAGGACCCTTTGTGGGAGCGGAACCAGAAGCCGTTCCATGTGTGAGGCCTCATCCTTAACCACTGCCCTACCTGCAGGTCTGTAACCGCAGCTGAGACACCATCTAATTCTGTAAATGAAACAAGAGAATTTATATGCTCCTGTACTATATTCTGCCTTTGTTATACCTGGTTTCTGGTATTTGACATTTGCTTATCGTGAGAGTAGTTTTGTAATTATCAGTGTTAAAGTACAGACCTGTCTTTGGCCAAAGTTCAAATTCCTCATAGTAAAACATAGTGTTCTTTTACAAAGTCTGAAGTTTGCTTTTTACGTGTAGCAGCAAAAACAATATCACTGCTAATGCAAAAGGTCGTTTAACAGTATTGTGGCACTTGTGTAATTTGATGTTAAAGCTGCGTAGTTCTGTAACTATTATATTTGACAACTTATTCTCAGGAACAATGATTATGTGAGGGAGAAGACAAATACGTTATCCCCTTCTTCCACATTTAGGTTTTTTTTCTGTCTATAAAGTTTATGTGTAATAACTTCTTGTTTTAATAATTATTTTCATTTTTAGGTTTTTTTCTTTGTCAGTCATGGACTACATTCAAGTAACCCTCAGTATAAGAGGATCGACATGCTCAGGTAAGGCAAGGTCATGTTAATAGAGTGTTATGCAAATAAGCTGCATCACACAGGAGTAGGGATGTCACGATACAAGAAACTTAGTAGCCTGTACCAATGCCAGTAGAATTACATGATTCTCAATTCCAAATTCGATATCATGGTAAGAACAAGATTATCCCACGCAATTTAACATTAGCATTTCTGTTAATGAAAGCAACAACAGTACAGGACAAAATACAGTACTATGATTTATGTGATAGTAGTGCAACAATTTTTTGTAGACGCTGCAATGATTCCTATGAATGGCATCATTTTCCATGGCTTTTTGAACATTTGAAAACTGTAGTTTTGAACTGCTTATCACCACAAAAAACAAGTACCGTTGCGTGTTCAGAATTTTGGAATTGATGGGTATCGTAAGTATCAGTCCTGATGACATCCCTACGCAGGAGTCTAGTAGCCTGCCCTTCATTTCGTGGAAGTGCCTGGTACTGCTGGGAGATGCCTCAGTCGTCATAGTGCTTTTTTTCTGCAGGAGAGTCCATCGCGGTCGTGGGTAGCTGTGAGAGGCTTGGCAGCTGGTGTGCCCAAAGAGCAGTAATACTTCACCCCGAGGACGATGGGTAAACACCAAAAACTCTCCATCAGTTTGCATTTCATGTCTACTTTTCATAATGCTTTTTAGTGTTAGTAATAGTCTTTGTTTCTTTCCGCAGCACTTTGTGGAAACAGACTATTGACATCCCAAGGGGAGTTGTAGCAAATTATCGCTATTTTAAAGGCTACTTTCTAGAATCTAAGGTGAGAAGAGCTCCATTTGTTTTCATCGGGAGAGTTTAATTTATAATCTTGATGTAAAAGTCCCTCTATTTAGTTAGCTAAAGTGCAGCACTAATATGGTTTTTCAGATACTTCCATTATTATGAGCCGTTTTGGCAAATGATTGCATTTCTATAATAACCTTTGACATAAAGGATGCTGATGTCAGAAGTGCTTCCTTCCTTCACTGTTAATACCAGGACTGTGAGTCCAGTGGTGATCACCAGTCAAATTTTTACTGATGTGCTGAACATATGATACAGTAGAAGTATCTGAATTCAAGCCAGAGGATGCTACTGAAATTTAACTTAAATTTTTAATTGTGTTTGTGAGACTAATGTTAATGTGGGAGAACCTGTGCAAAAGGTTGTCTTTTTGTCAAGTTGATGCCTTGTGCATTTTAGCTAACACATTCTTGTTGGATTTCTTCCATTTTCAGACATAATTATATTACATATTTTAATCATAATCATATAATGATGATAATCATTTTTCGAACTTGGATGAGTAGTGAAAGAGGTCTCCCATATTAATATTTTTACAACATGTGGTAAAGGAGCTGTAGCTACCTGGATATCTGTTGATATGATTAAGGATGAATTATTTTGTTTGTTTTTTTTTATGCACATAACCTTTAAATCAACCGTCACTCAAAATGAATATTACTTTTTAAAGAGGTGGGCTCTTGTTTTTCCCCTCTTTCTTTGCACAATTAAGTTTTATTCCAATATAGCGGTCTTCCATTGCTTCAGCATTCATGCTGAATTTTTGTGGTTTGATGACAGGTAATTACCATACCAGAGATGTTTAAGTGTTCCACTGTGTTTACTCAGTTCCATGACTGCATGTTTGTGCTATAGAAACAAATTGTTGCCTGCATTTTTCACTGGCATTTTCCAGGGAATTTATTATATTCTGCAGCTGAACTCCATGGTTCTCATTGGACATTGTTTTTGGTGGTGGTGCTGGGCCCATTACTGGGGAAGTGCCAGTAATTGGCTAATGTCAAGCACAAGGGATTTTTTAAAGCTTCTGGCAAGAGTGAATGGTGTGATACTTGGGGACGCTTTGAGTGCTGTGATAGTCCTCAGGTTGGGAACGGTGACTTTGTGGAGTGTATGGCAGTTTGTGAACATGTATGAGGAAATGAGAAAAAAATAATATACAAACTTACAGTGTATCATTATGAGAACTTAACTTTGAAAGGGAAGAACAGATTTATTAGTCATATAAGTGGTTAACATGAACTGCTGATTGGCTGTTGGTAATTTCAAGACAAAACTGTGATCTCTTTTCAGGAAATCCTCCACCATGGATTTTCATCTTCCACTGATATTAAAATGTGATTCAACTGCCTTATTGTTCCTATTTGATAATTATTGAAGTTCATATTATGTACTTTTCCAGTGATTCAGTTTTGTCACAGTTAAGTCAGTCTTAGTTTTTGATTATAAATGAGCTCACTAAAATATTTTTGCCTTAATCCTAGATCGTTATTGCTGGTCAACAACGATGATAAAAGTGTTTTCTTGACTAATGAATCCACTTTGCAGACTTCACCCAAACGTGGCTGACTGGCTGGGAGATTGGTGAATATTCCAACTCAAACTGTTTGGAGACAAACTTTGGTTTAAAACAGCCAGCATAATCAGAATGTTTATTTTATTGTTAACACTATATTAAACATTGGAATTGCAGAACGCAGGTGTTCCATGTCAAGTCATAGTCAATAAGTGGGAGACTCACCAACACCCGCGAACTTTGCAGTGCTCAGGTATATACCCAAAAACTGCATGGCTTGGTAACACATTATACAGCTTCACTCTGTTTCTCCTAGAAAACTTTCTACTGGATAAAGCAGGAATTATTTCACCTTCTGTGCAGCTAAAGTAAACATGGCAAAGCTGGGTGAATACAATCTGTTCAGTTAGTACGGATTACTTTTTGATTGCCGTGCAATCAGGTCTTTTATGGGGGACCTGTGATCTGTGTTGGCATTTAACATACTGAGATTATGCATGTTTAAAGGATGTATCCTGTAAGTTGTTGGAGTCAGATACTGTTTCAGGAGTACATGCTTCACCCCAGATGCTTGCAGTTGCTGTTTTGCCACATTTCATAAATAAGGGATGTGAGGTTTTGGAGATGATGCATTTTGTCAGAACAATTATAGGTACTGGATGTAAGATTTGATACATATGATGCAATGTGTATTTATTTGCATATTGACTTTTCTGTATATATGTCTGTTATGCCTAGCTGACAATGTGTAAGTCTGGCATGTATGTATTCATTATAATTTTCATGCCGTAACTAATGTTATTGGAAAGTTGAAAGTTAAAGTATAGTCTGATGAAGTCTTTATAGAAGGAAAGATTTGTTACAAATGTGTTTTCACCCAGTGAATTTGCCTGATCACCCTAAATTATCAATAGATACTTTAACCAAAAATGATAATGTGAGAAGTATATTTTCCATTTAAAGTACAAAATAGATTTGAACTCAATTTAGCAATGCTTAATGAGTGGTCCTATCTAGGTGTACAGTTATATTGCTGTAATTTGTAGGGAAAATATTAGCTAGGACTACTATTTGAGGAAAATGTTCAATTTTTAAATATTTGTTAAGTTGTACCTGCATTTAATTTAACCACACTCTTTAAATGTAATGGATTCATGGTCTAATATGTCTATGATTCACCCATACATATTACTTTGGTTTGAGTTTAAGGATGGTTCATTGATATTTAAGCAGATTATAGATAAATGGCAGTTTATAGATTTAAAAAATTCAGGTTTTTTTTTTTAAAAAAAAAATTATTTCCTAATTCTAATTTCTTGTGTATTGTTTGTTTAATACACACTGATAGTTTGGGGTAGGGAACCATATCTTAAAAACTAAAATGTTTGGTAAGTTTACAAACTGTATGAAATAATATAAATACTTGGCTTCTTTGTAATTCATCTAGATAATGCACTAAACTATTTGATTTTTATTTTTTATTAGTGTGCATGATGAAGTATTTTGATTTAACCTGTTAGGTAATTATGATAATAACATTAGAAAATAACATTAGGAGTGCAGTTTAAATACACATGCAGGTGTTTGTAATAAGAGGATAAACATAATGACATTTAACTTAGAGTAAATTAATAGCATAAACAGCAGAGTATTTATATTACATTCTTCTGTCAAAGAAAATAAAACACAGGATCTGATAAGTCATGAAGCTCAATATCATTGAAACCCCACTGTAATTAAGCATACTTTTTCAATAGATCGTTTTAAAAGTAAAAATGAAAATTGAAATACTCTGTCCTTTCTTATTAACCTTTAAATTGTTCTGCATTACAGAGTCAGACGTCTTTATCGACGATGGACATTTCGGTTTTCACAGTAAGTCACTTTGGTTTTGATGCTCTTCAGTAATAAAGTGGAGTTGTATGCTCATTTGAAATTATTTTTGAAAAAGCCTGATATAAATAGTGCTGTTCAGGGTTCCTTCTATCAAAATATTCATGAGAGAAAGCAAGTGATTTGAGTCTTTCATTGTAACCAGTTACGATTGTTTCCACTCTACGTGTATCAGAAGTATTGCAGGAATCGCAATACAGCACAATGTTTACACTTACTTTAATTTAGCTGACACTTTTGTCCAAAGCAGCATACAAGTGTGACTAGGGAAAGCTTCCAATGAATGCCAGGCACAAGTGCACTACGCAACACTATTATAACAACAGAACATTCTGGCAGTTAAACACCACTTTTGCTAAAATGAGTTTTTTTTTTATATGTACAGTATTTTACATGCCTTAATTGTGTGTGTTATTGTACTACAAGCGATGTTTCTTGTTAGGATAGAATTGCTGGTTAAGTGGTCACCTGGTTAATTAACATCACTACATACTGCGGCGATCTTTTGGATGATGACGCTTTAAGATGGAGATGCTGCACTTTTTGGACAGTTTGCTACCAGTGCAAACTAGCAGTTGCACAAACACAGAAGCCAACAATTTTCGTGACATTCACATTTGGGGTTAGATGCGAATGAACAAACACTCCACAGCAAAGAATTATGCAGCTATAACATTTACTATTTCCAACATATAGATATAAAAACAAACATCTATTGCACTGAGGCTGCTTCAGGGTGCAGCCCGCATGCCGACCCGGCTCCATGGTGTCACAATACATAACAATGTGGATGGTTTGTAGACATGTAATAATATCGTGATCTATATTCTGGATTGTGATTCTAGCCTAAAATGTGATATTTTAGCCATGTCACCCACCTGTATTTCACAGGCCAAGATAGAGAGGGCCTGTTTCAATACAGAAAAACAGCATGACAAATGAGTAATAACTGTGCTATGGAGCTTGATCATTACAGCAGAGCAGTACTTTGTTCATGCTGGTGCATTTTAACATGTTTGTCCCTGCAGACGGCATAGAATGTGTGGATTCAGGCTGGCTGACATGTCAGACGGAAATCCGCCTGCGCCTCCATCATTCCCAGAAGCCCCCTGTGTCGATCACAAAGAAAAAATTCAAGAAGTCGAGATTCAGGTACAATCATAGGCTGCCTTCTGTAAAACAGTCCAAGAGGAATAAGGATTTAGCTATAGAAATACTGGACACGGCATATGGTGAGCTTGTGTTCTTGACATTCTCTGCAGGCTGAGGCTGATGCTGGAAGGCATTGAGGAAGAGGAGGATGATGAGGAGCAGAGTCCCACAGCCTGGAATAAAATGACCACCACGCTGGAGATCAGCATGATCAGCAGCAGTGGTTACAAGTCTCGTCATTCACAGCCTGAATGTGGCTATGCCCTTGAGCCTGACCGCTGGACCGAGTACAGCATCCTTACCATGGATCCCGACAACCTCGAGCTGACCTTTGAGTTCTTTGAGGTTGGTCACTTTCCAGGTGTCGTACAGAATAATTGCGCCATAACTGATGTTATGATGATCTACGTTTTGAAAGCTTCACACTGGTAGGTCTTGGATACGCAATGTAACTGCTACAGTGTTTCTTAATAGAGATTTTCTTTTGAAGCTGTTGCTTTTTATGCAGGGATAAGTTGTTTGATGTTTAAAGATGTTCGTCTTTGGCCTAAGCAATTGAATTAGCTGTTAGTAAAATGCTGCTTTTGCATGTTATTGGTCCTTGAACATTAACTTCAGTCACTGTTGTTTAGAATCAAGTTTTTATGTAATGAGAATGATTCCCATATCTCTTTAGATATGATGAATATTATGTATATTTTTACATAAAGGAAAAAATTAGCAGCCACATGCAGGATTTTCTGAGAAAATCATGGGCAGTTTTTTTCTGATCCATAGGAATTCATTTTTATTTTTAATACTGTGCTCCCATCTAAGCGTGCTGTACTTTTATAACTACAGTTTTGCTAGCTAGCTAAAAATAGATATTTTCACTGCATACTAATTTCAGTTACAGAGCTCCAGATTTATTTGCAGTGTTAGAACAATATTTTAGTTTGTTTAAAATATAAATGTAAGTGCAAGGAGATATTTAGTATATAAATGCAATTGAATATTGTGATCTTCATGTATAAATGATGAGCTGGGTGCTGGTCACCTTTGCAGGAGGAGCTGAGTGAGACGGTTGTCCAAGGCGATGTTCATCCTGGCCATGTCGGTACTGCCTGCCTGCTCTCATCCTCCTTTCTGGAAAGTGGGAAGAACATTGGAGTGGTCACTCTGCCCATAATGGGCAGAAATTCCAGGCAAACCATTGGCAAAGTCAGAGGTAAATCCAGTCAAGAAAAGCCTAGAAAACCCCTACGCTCAGTTAAGTGTTTAGCGAACTTAACTGATAGTGACTTCAACTTCATTGGTTCATCTTCTTTGGAATGTTTCTCTGTAGACTCATTTTGGGGTTGGGCAGATTGGAGTTAAGAGCTTAAGCATAACAAGAACTGTCAGTGTTAACCTTGTCTTCCTGTCTTCTCAACCCATTTTAGTGGACTACCTTGTGATAAGACCGATTAAAGGTTTTATGTGTGACATGCATTCGTCGTTCACAAAGTACTGGAAGAAGAGAAGTGCTTTGGATGTTGGGCACAGAGGAGCTGGCTGCTCACATCCTGCAAAGTAAGTCTCTCCTGTTTCAGCTGCAACTTGGGCCTTTAGTTCAAGGAGACATTCTGCAGTCAGCCTGTTTGGTCTGAATGACAAGAATAGCAACACACTTATCTGTGTGATTAGTATTTCCTGGGTGCAGGGAAAGTTCTGGTGTACTCTTTATCTGGGAAGCTTAAAGGAAAATATGGATCCAAAAAAATAACTAGCTTTCTGCTGTAAAATTAGCAGCCTGTTCTGCCCATTTTGGTGGTGGCAGTGGTTTAACGACATGGAGTTGTAACCTGAAGGTTGCTGGTTCGAGACCTAGAAGGGACCATAGTCTACTACCTCTGAGTGAGATACTTAAGGTGATTCATTTCAGTGAAATCCTCGGCTGTTAGAGTGGGTTACAGATGGTTCCCAGCTAACAGAGAACATTCCCAGAACTTCTCAAAGGTCTTCTTTCTTACTGTAACGTTAATAGAACGTTATTTCCACATTTTAAATTTTAACAAGGGTTCTGTCAGTGTCAGCATGATAACATTACTACTTCAACCTCCTTTTAATGCAGTTAATGTTGAAAAATATTGTTTTATAAAACTGCTATATCCAGCCTTGAACCCATGACCATTAAGTCACAGTGTTATGGCTGGTTCATACTTCTCTGCACGTATACTAGTGGACGTATCCGCTTGAATGTTTGATGCGTTTGTCATTGTGCGCCTCTGCGGACGAACGCCTGCTGCACTCCAAATTTGTGAACGCGCAACTCTGGACACAGAGCGCATGATTAATTCGCTAGCGTCCACTTTAAACACCAACATGGATGCTTTAGTTTGCAAACCTTAAAGACTATTTACAAGGTAATAAAACTGTTACATACATGTAATTGCCTGTGTAATACTTGTCTCGAATTGAAAATCTCACACTAGCCAGCTGAACAAAGTTTGCAATCCTGTGAGCTGGCTCTCTGAATTTGTAAAAAATACAGAAACAGACACAAACCTCACTGCTTTGGTAAACATGCAGGGAATATCAGAATAATAATTTGTATAATAATAATGCTATTTAAAAAATTATATAAATACGACACATTGTGCACATGTGCAAAGTATGTGTCTTGATCGGAGAACGTTTCTGTGCACGCATACGCAGAGTGGATATGCGGAGAAGTACGGACCAGCCTTTACCCGGTGCTCTAATCATTTGTTGCTACGTTATTATTCTTAGTTGTAGTTCTAGTACTGGGATAATGTTCTGGGAACATCAGTTCAATCGGTAATCGTTCCTAGAATGAAAAATTGTTAATTAATGTTAAATATGAAAATGTCAGCTATGCTACTGAGTGCACTCGCTGAAAATTAAATGGATACTGCCTGTCTGTAAAAACACGAAAGCATTACTGTGAAGGCAGTCCCTGCATACCATACTGAGCTCACGCCTGTCAAACATTCTTTATTTTTTAGGCACACCAAGGTCAGGGAAAATACCATCGCATCATTCAAAAGTGCTGCAAACCATGTAGGTCCTCCGAGAGGGGTTACCTGATGTTTAAAGGCACTTATTTGTTGTTACATCAGTGGTGTGGAATATAACAGAAAATAGTTTTAAAAATAAATAAATAAAAAGCTATGGATATTTTAATGATGTTTATTTCTTCAGGGTGCTGCCTATGTGGAGTTTGATGTCCATCTTTCCAAGGATTGTATCCCTATTGTGTACCATGATCTCACATGCTGTATTTCTACAAAAAAGGTAAATACTTCTAAATCATTTGTTGGGGGAAAATTTTTCTTTACAGAGCAATTGATTGTTTATAAGAATAAGTGTGTATGTGTATATTTAATTTGTGCTACATAAAGTCTTTTTCTGCCCTGTTCAGAAAAATCAGGAACTCCCTCTTGAACTGCTTGAAGTTCCTGTAAAGGATCTTACATTTGATCAGCTCCATCTTTTGAAGGTATAGTATACATAGAAATGTTTTCAGTACCTTGCTGTAGTAGAAAGGGCCTCTGTGTTTAATGAGGATATTCTCCATTTTTATCTGTTATAGCTGGCCCATGTGACAGCCATGAAAGTGACAGACCACAAAGGTAGGTCTTCAAAATCCGGTCTTTTACTTCTCCCTCATTCCATCCAGGAATGACTGTTAAACAGGATTTTTTGATCTTAATGTGTCACCATTGGATTATCTGCAAATAAGACAAGGTTGAATTACTGATTGAACACTCTTATAGAATTTGTGCTACATATTCGTAGCTTTCACATCCAGAGTGATTTCTTTTTTCTTCTGGTTTGCTGTGACAGATTGCTTTGACGAGGAGGAGTATATCACTGAACACCAGCCTTTTCCGTCACTTTCTCAGGTATTCTGTGTTTGAGTCTTTCTGGGTATTAAACACAATTGAACCTGCTCCTAACCCTAAGTGATCATTCAGCTGAGTTCTCAAAATTAAGATTAACTTTATTGGTCCCAGGGGGAAATTCTGGTGCATACAGCAATTTTTTAATTTCTCCCCCAAGATCTTTCAAGCAGTTCCTGAACATGTAGGCTTCAACATTGAGCTGAAATGGATTTCTCAGATGAAGGTATGTGAGCTGTTATCTTCCTTTTTATCTTACATGGTGGAGTATACTTGATTTATGAATGAAGGATAGAAGCCAATCTGGAATTATCTTTATTTCTTTTTAAATCAAGGATGGAACCTGGGACGGAAACCTCTCATCGTACTTTGACATGAACATGTTTCTTGACACCATCCTAGTATGCGTGCACCAGCTTGCAGGCAAACGAAGAATAGTCTTCTCATCCTTTGATCCTGATATATGCACAATGTAGGTGTTTATTATTCATCAGTAACACTGATCTGCTTAGTGCTGTTAATTTCAGTCATTGAAAGAAATTTTTGGTCTTTTTTTTTTTTTCGAGTAGACTTGAGAGTGGATGAGTAGCAGTTTGAAATGAGGAACTGAAATAATCATGCAAGCAAAATTCTCTCATTTTTGGCCACATGCAACAGGGCTGGGTTATATGACAAGTAACCTGCTGTTGATACAGTGTTGAACGACTATATTATTGTTTACAACAGTGGGCAAATAAAAAAATAAGTACACAATGGATGTATAGTAGTGCCGTATGGAATCAGAGCTTACTGAAGTGCAGTAAGAGCAAGCTTGGAAATTGCCTGTTTTTCTGTTTGCAGGGTTCGCCAGAAGCAGAACAAATATCCCATTCTGTTTCTAACTCAAGGCGTCTCTGACATCTACCCAGAGCTGATGGACCTTCGCTGCCGCACAACTGAAATCGCTATAAGTTTTGCACAGAGTGAGGATATTTTGGTGAGGGATGAATCACATCCTTATGGTGGCTCTTTTCATTTTATGATGAGTAAAGTATATTATTCAAATACCTTAAATTATGTTAATAAAATTTTACTTCCTGTAGCAGACAGCCCATTTCTGACAATGGTACATGCACATGGTTACTCTACTTGGGGGGGTTAGGGGCCAGCTGGCCATTGACCTCCAGTGTAGTTGTAGGTGTTGTGTTGGTGTTGCAGTCCATGGGGAGTATCGAGTATAGTACAGAGTAATATATAGTCATTGCTGGAAAATTAATTAAACTCACTGGTTCAAACTAGTGATCTGTCCACAGTAATAGTAAAATTGTATTTTTATTTAATTGCACTGTGATCTTCCCCATCTTAGCTGATGTTGTAAAATGTAATTCCTCAGGGAATCAGCGCGCATACAGAGGATCTGCTGAGGAATATGGACCTCATCAGAGATGCCCAGTCAAAGGGCCTGGTGATCTTCTGCTGGGGGGACGACAACAATGATCACGAGAACAGGAGGAAGTTGCGAGAGCACGGCATCGACGGCCTCATCTACGACAGGTAGGCAGCTCCAGGTGCCATTCCGCTGCCTTTAGGTGGAGCAGTAATACCCTAGTAATACCCTTGGGTGACGTCCTGCAGGTGATTATCTCGTTCAGGTGATTTTGATGAATAGATGAAAGGAAATGGATTAAGGGCTCCTTCTGAGCAAGTAGCAGCTTAGCCTGTGTTCAACAAGCAATTGAACAGAAGTTCGCTGGTTTAACAGTCCTCTCATTTGGATGCCCTTGTCGGTGAACATCTATTTGCATTTGTGCCGCTGTGCTGATCTGCGGAGCTGACAATATTTTGGCATAAGGACTAACACTGTTGGAACGGCATCCTCCACGATTTCAAGTCAGTCAGGTTAAATTGTGATTTAACAGTGGTGTATTGTAGCTTAATTTGAAGAAATTCCCCCTAAAATTGTGCTTGTTTCCATTGCTTGTGTTGGTAATAAAAGTTCCCAAAGGTTATCACCGTTCTTCCGACTTACTCCATTTTTTTTGTCTGATAACTTTGCCTCTTTCTTTCAGAATTTTTGAATGCCAGATGGCACATTACATTGATTCGAGTTCTACAGACACCAGTAATGTCTCTCTACCTGATCTGTAAATTAAATTTTATTATCTTTTTGTTCACCTGGATGTCTTGCCCCAGACTGAGTGACCACGTTCACTTAACTGCACAGGGAATGTTATCACATTCCTCAACGATGATGTTTGGTGCTTGACTTATCATCTACTTTATTACAGTTGCACGGATTGCAATCTTCTTCCAGTAAAATATTTCAGTCTCATTTTTAATAAGAGACATGATGTCTATTTTATATATGATATAGTCAACTGCCCTGACCATCGTTTTTGAGTTTGGCCCAGTCAGCTTACTTCCTAATACCAGGTGCTATTTTTTTTGGCTTTTACTTAATACTTTGAGTTTTTCCTCAGTGTGGTTTCTTGGCTATCCAGGGTGATTTCCCTGATTTTCTTTGACTGCATGAGCAGATTTGGATGTAGATGAAACATGGAGGTTTAGCCATTTCTGTGGCTGTGAGTCTGATTTGAGTTCCTGTTAGGATGAAAGCATGGTCTTTCCTAAGTAAGCTGTTCAAATCCAGCATGCAAAAGCCACTCCTCACTTCTGCCAGTACCATTCTACCTCCGTGGGTCATGTTCTCCCTCTGGTTACCACACCTAGTTTTTCATTATTGCTTTTTATTATATACTTTTCGTCATGATCTTGCTTTATTAATTTTTTAAATATCAATTATTCCTACTGTGTAATATGTGTTTGTGTACTATTTAAAAAATACGATTCTAGTTCTTGAATTGTACATATTTCTTGAGTAACCTTGAAAGGAAGAATATTTTTAATATAATATTTAATTGTTAATGCTATCATTTGTTATATAGATTATGTACTTTTGCAAACAACAAAGGTCATGTGTAGTAGTTCTGATCAGAAAAGATTGTAATTTTGTAAGAATTTGTCACATTCTTAACTGAACTATGAATAGTTTCAGCCATTTCAGTTATACTGCAGAGGTGATTAAACCCAGACAAGTTTGTACTTGTTACCAGTTGAACAATTTGATATGTAAAGAGAACATTTTTTATTTGTTTATATTTGGCAAACTGAAATTTGTCAAGGCAGTGGTATTTCTCAAGATTGCACAATAATTGCAGGGAAAGACAGTCTGTTCTTATTGAGTAAGAAACCTTCCTCACTGTTAAGTAACACTGGGTTTTGCTGAAGATGTTCTGGATTGGATCCCTCTGTATTGTGGTGGTTCTGATTTACTCAGTACAAACTGTGAGATGTTCGAAAGGGTGTCTCTGAACAGTTTGCATGTAGATGCAAGGGTAGGTGTCACAAAGGTATTTTATACATAGCAGTTTTGGTCAGAATAATACACTTTTGTTCTTTTCTGAAGTTAACATTTACTTCGCTTCATAAATTTTGCTGTGCATGTTGCTCGGTTTAACTTAAATATGGATGGCTAAACGTATAAACATTTTTATTGCATGTCATTAATTTTTTAAAAGAAGCATTACATTTGGTTTGGGCTCCTGGTTATTCATACAAGCAGTCCTTGCATGCTGTCAAATAAGGATGGATTCAGAGGAAATTCTCCAATCCTCATTGTCTTTGTGGGGGCCCAGTGAACTGTGAGGGTTCACAGAAATAAAGGAGGACATTAAGGTGGAGGAATGTACCAGTACACCTGGCCAGGTCCTATCACCTCCGTGCCAGTATGACTGCTAACTCAGCTGTTTTTCCTCTCTGCTTTAGGATCTGTGATGTCGAGCAGTCAAACATCTTCAAAGTAGAGGAGGAGGTGTCGCTGAAGGCAGTCATTCCAGAGGAGACACTGAAGAACTGCGTTTGCTCTGCCTACAGCATCCCGTGCTCCTCCTTGCCCTGTACCAGGAGAGCAGGGGCAGGCAGCGCTGAATCCGACTCAGGCCTTAGCTCATCATGAACTTTCACCAAGTGCTGATGCCAGCAGATGTGTAAAGACTAGTCTTATTCCATCACTGCTAAATTTGAGCCTGGGAGGTGATCATGGCCAAAACTGCTTCAGCTTTGTGACTCAAAAAGTAAATGCACAGAAAACCAGTCTTTTCATTTATGTAGGCCACAGTTGTATGTAACAGTAGCAAAGCTGCTGAACAACTTGTAACCGTTTTTCCTCAGGTTTATTTATTTGTTTGTATAGATCATTATTGTGTAGCTTCACCAAATTATGTTTATTCCATGACTCCTTATTTTAAGAAGTGTAAGCTTAACGTCGATTATGCCAGATGCAATCATTAATCTGTTTTTCCTTTTCTTGAAATGTTTATACATGCCTGTACACATTTCCCAACTGCTGTTTTTTTTAAGAAAATGTTTCTCCTTGCTTGGGTTGTCAGCCTTAACATGTTTCTCAGTCGTGATTATGTTGATACTTCAATACAGATAAGCAGGCACAGTGGAGAATTTCATAAACGTTCATTTATGGGTCTGGATCCTGTTTTACAGTATCACACCTTATAACATATAAGTATATACATATATATATAAATGTGCAGTTATTTATAAAATGCATGCTCAGTACATATTTGAATTTTGCGGCTTATGTAAAATACATTCAAGTGCTTGTGTTCCCTAATAATTCACATGCACAAATTCATATAAAATAATCTGTTACTTGCAGAACTCAATTTTTACAGTACTTCTCTATGCCTGTAAATTCATACATGATTTATTTTAGGATCTAAGCTTGTTCATCGTGATTGCAGGACACGTCCCGTTGCCTTTGTTTTAGCTGACAACCTGCTGCGTATAATGACATTGTGAATTGCTGAAAGTCACACTAAAAAACATGAACGCCTCTGGCTGGTTTAAAAAAAAAAAAAAAAACAATATCATTTACCTTCAGAATAACTGGTGAAAAGGTGATTATGCTGCTCTATTTACTTACAATGTATGATGGTTTCAACTGAACTTGTTTGCAGTGTTTCGCCTTGAACCTGGGTAGATGCTGCCAAAAAAAGCCCCACATGAGCCAGTGATGGAGCGTTGGTGGTATTTTGAAACCGTGATTAGCAGACAGATGTCGCTGCAGACTGCATCTATGTCCGTGTGTTTTTTGCTACTCAAGTTACTGTGTGCTTGCATTGGAACCTGTATAACTGATTTAATGTGACACTCTGTGGTAGCACTGGACATTATTGGGTGTTTGATTGTTTCAGTCCACATACCCAGGAGTACCTCACTTCAGTGTGTGCATAGCACTCTTTCATGTTGTTCGTTTGTTCACATGTTCCATGGCAATGCAGCTGCAGCTTGATATGATGCAGGAATTCACTCATGGATGCTTACTTGCACTGTATCTTTGACATTTTATGTACATTTGTGCTCTTATCCTCTGTGGAACAGCAGATGTCTTAAATGTATTCTAAATGGTACTGAATGCCATTTTTGATGGACTACTCTGCGTAAATAAAAAAGAATTAAGACCAATGAAAACTGGCTAGAGCATTGGCTTTTTGGGTAAAACCAAATGAAATATGTTGCATTCATCAGTGGACTGTATGGTATTTCATTGCATCATGTTTCTATAGTAGTTGCCATGGTGAAATGCTTTGACTCATTTTGTTAGCCCTCACCATGTCTCCTAAGTGTGGTATCCCTTTGGATCAATATAAAATACTGTAAAAATTAATAAATATGGCTCCCATAAATATTGCCCTGCTTTTAGATATGAAAAAATTCAAATGTACATAATTTATTTAATGGATCTACATTTGAGAGAAAATGTGAACAGCAACTTTGCTGTTTTTAGTGTTTTTTTAATACAAGATTAAATGAGAGGTGACACTGTTGAGCAGTGTGTGTATCTATTGCTTATGAGTGCCAAACTAACCCATAGCTCTCAAAATTATTTTCCTGGTGAATGTGATCTATATCTGTGATTTATGCCAAATCTTGTATGTCTGAAATTTTGATGCCAATTTGTCGCCTCGACTATGCATCCTGTTTTTCAACGTTTAAAAAAACTTGTTTCTGTAGTCCTCTCTCAATCTTTCTGGCATTATCCACTTTGGTCACTGCTTTAAGGCCATACAAAAATTATTCTCTTTAAAAAACACTAGTAGTCGTTTAAAAGCAATCTACAATGCTCACACAATCAAATGCAGTTATAAGCATATTCTATATTGTCGACAAAACTCTGGATCATACACACCAATTTCCATAGCTGTGAGAAAACCCATTTCACCCCGTTTATATGGAACTCTTTACCTTTCACCAGTTTCATTTGTTTACAGATTTAATGATAGAGCAAATAGCATTTTAAGACTTGAAGAAGGCAGAGATGAGATGATTCATTTTACGGTGCCATGTCCCCTTATCTGTCCTTGTATCTGTCCTTGTCTGCATGAGGATGTCACATAATCACCCTGCCCACATATATTTATACATATCCCAGCGGGACAGTTGCTTCACACCTCCAGGGTTGGGGGTTTGAATCCCACCTCTGCTCTGTGTGAAGGGGTATGCATGATCTCCCTGTGAAACATGAGTACTCCAGTTTCCTCCCTCAGTCCTAAAGTATGCAGTTCAGTCCATTATCTCTAAATTTCCCATAATTTATGACCTGAGTGTGTTTGTGTGAACCCTGTGATAGTCTGGCATCCTGGCCAGGACATGCTTCCAACCTTGTGTACCGTGATGGACTGCAATCCTATCTGGTTAGAAGATAGATGGATGTATCCTTGACATTCCTGTCATACATAATAATGGATATTGGAGGGGAGACTCAAACCCTCAGGCCTGAATGTGTGAGGAAAATTGCTCTTATATTTCACTTCGTGCCCAGTACTGCACCTCATAACCCCGCTAAAGGTCTCAAGCTGTCTCTGTTTTGAGTTTAATCAGCAATTTAGGGAATACCTATTTCTGCATTTTTAACCAAACTGTCCACTAGTGGACGCTGCAAGCAAAATAAAACATGCAAGAATTTCCAGTTTTCACCAATGACACTGACTAGACATTTACAGCAATAAAATACATTACCAAATAAAATAACTACACACACATTTATGTATATATGTGCATATATTATACCAGCTTAAAATTTGTCTTAGAAAAATATTACTAATAGCTTGTTTTTATAACCGCATCATTACATACTTCGCTATATTTAAAATAACCAAAACCAATCTATATCGGTACTGTCCTGTTGCACTATATCCGCCTCTACATAAATTGGGCACCGTTTCTAGTGCGTTTCAAAATAATAGGCTTGAAAAGGTTTTACTCACAATCCTACTGTGATGTCTAAAATATGCAACGTAACTATACAGACTGCCAGCACCAAACCGGTTGTCCTTCCTCAATACTAGTACCCTGTGGTCATGATGACCGATAAATCACGCAGAAACGCAGCCTCCCTCCCCGAAGGAGTTTCCAGTACTGCCCGCGGCCGAATAAGACCATTGAGCATATGATGACCACTTCGCCATCTCACAAACCTACGCCGGACAAGACCGTTGGGTTCCCGGGAGCTGTAGTTCAATATTACGTAAACCGCTGCTTATTGAGAGATTCAAAAACTACATAAACCACGATTACCCGCGCTGTCCGCTGTACACCTACGCTACATAAAACCACCGACTGTAATCCTCCATCACCATAAGCCGATGCAGATATTTTGTATCTAGGTAACGGTAAATATACCGGTGCACCTAAAGCTTGTTATTCTTAAAAAATAACCAACAATGGACAATTCCGGTAAAGAGAAGGAAGCGATCCAGCTTATGGCCGAAGCGGATAAGAAAGTGAAGTCCTCCTCGTCGTTCCTGGGGGGGATGTTTGGGTAAGAAGCGCTGCGGCGGTCAGCGCGCTTATGCGGCTTCCTTAGCAGGCTAACCGGCTAGCCTGCGCCCCCCAAGCCGGGGGGCGTCTGTCCGCAGGACTGCGGAGGGCAGGAGGGGAACGTGGAGGAGGTGTGGGGGTCGGGGGCTGAATCTGAGCAGGTCATAGGGAGAGGATGCTGGGTGACAGCGCGCCCTTAGCCAGGGGGAGAGCTAAGCTGTTTGCTGATGCTAATAATAATAAGAATAATAATGATAATTACGATGATGACGACGATGATGATGATGAAGGGCAAGGAAAGAGTTCGCTTTGTGCTTGCGGGGGTGTTGACATCTAGTAAATGTTCATACATGGACAGCTACGGTGATGCAAAAGAATACGCAATGGAATGCACCCTCTCTCTCCCTCTCTCTCTCTCTCTCTCTATATATATATATATATATATATATATATATATATATATGAGATACATATTTGGGTTGGGGGTGTGGGGGGTGGGCGAAGTACTTAGATGATAAGTCTTCGTTTTCACTCTAGCAGTCCCTAAGCGGCCGATGGCGGAGTGTCGGGATTTCCGTCCCTGCACCAAGGAGAGAGAGAGAGAGAGAGAGAGAGAGAGAGACGGAGGGAGAGAGAGGGGGGCAGCCTGGGGTCTGACAGCGGACCGGAGAGGGGAGGCGGGCTGGGGTCTGACGGACCGGAGAAGTATGTCAGACAACGGACCTGTGCCCTTCTCGTACCAGGAGTGCGGATTTCACCCATAAGCCGTATCTGCTGCTTAAAATGCGAGGTCCTGTTCCCATGCAGGGGCCATCATTTCCCTGCCGGAGTGGCGCACCGGGCGGGTTGCCCACTTGATTCTATGGAGATTTGTGATGATACGATTTTTGTGGGTATTGTTATACGCCGCGGGTTGTTTTAGTAAAAGACGTTTTTAAATATGCAGATACGATCAGATCTGAAGTTTTTCCTTTTTAATTTTCGGTGTTACACCGTATTCTGTAACCGTCGTGATGTGTGACTTAAGAGCCACTACAATTGGGTTTAGTGATCAAGATCAGCCGTGGCAGAGGGGTCACACTCTCTGATAGCTGTCGTCAGATTTCGTGACCCCATAAAATTACAGGAAAAAGCAGTGACACAGCAATCAAATACCCCAGTGTGAAAAAGCAGTAGCACATCTTTCAAAACGTATTGTCTTGTTTACACAATTCTAATGGTCACATTATATCGAACATTCCTAAATATGTCACTAAATGTAGCGCACCACAATACATAGTTTCATACATCACAAAACTGACTGTGCAAGAATCAGAAAGATGAATAACTACCATTAAAACATTTATTTGAAATAGTCGCAACATCGGTTATATGCTTTAAAACTCAGAATTACCCACTCTTTCAGCCACCTATATAATTCGCGAATGTTGATTTATGAAAGAACATGCAGAAGAGTTATTTCACTAAAAATACAAATAAGCAGAAGGAACAGAAAGTGGAAATGTTGCTGCTTTAAAATAATTACGGTACGTAAAATGCGCAGAGGGCTTGCGTAGGTGATCAGGAAGCCTGCGTTTATTCCCAGTAACGTGAAACAGCACCTCACCCCCCAACGCAAGCTTTTCCTCTGCTTCGACATATGCGATGTGGACAGAGTTTGTCTCTGTTTCTGCTTCCTATGACCAGTTAAGCGTGTTGAGCAAAATCCAGTGGGTGAAATTTGCCAAGTCATCTTTAATTTGGACAATACTGAGCACGTTTATTTTGGTAATCGGCTGGCTGAAACTGGCATAAGACCCGGTCATCAACCACCTATCAATCCACTTTGCATGGATGATAAACGTTTAAATTGATTTTCAAATGGAATTCAGTATAAGAAAATATGACGCTTGTCGCTGTCTACGATTGGAATAACAACCTTGTTTAATATTTTGAAAAGACATCTTTAATTTACAACGATAATTTGTAAAAAATAATTTGTAAAAATTACGTGCAGCTGTATACATATACAATATAATATATTACAACGCTAGGTCAAGCCATATTATAACACTACTGGTAATACTTTTGGATGGGTGGATGGATGGATGGATGGACGGACGGACGGACAGACAGACGGATACTATACTCATTGATGGACTGACCGGTTACACCTTGCTTGCAGGCTCATTTTCTCTGTTTTCTATAATGTTTTCATGCCCTGTTGGGGGTTGGGCAGCCAGTCTTCCTTGGACCCCCCCCCCCCCCCCCCCCCTTAGGTTTTTCTCCATACTCTGGAGTTTTTGTTTGCTCTCTTTCATTGTCTTATGGCATTCTTTCTTTCTCTTCCCTTATTCTTGGTTTTGTGCACCATTTTGTATATGCGAGGAAGTAATTGATTGCCACAGTTTTGTCAGTTGCCTTGCAACGACTTGATTTTCAGTTGCATGAGAACATAATAAAGGTGTTTAAATAATCCATTGATTAGATACAGCATTGAAAACACTTTTCCACATGTGGCATTTGCTTCACAGTTATGTTGTACCCTTAAATAACATGAAATAACATTGTCCTTTTCAGCTTCTGTCATTTTCTCATTGTCTTGGCTGAAGCTTGACGGTAAAATATATCTTGAAGAAACAAGGGGTTGTAGCAGAATCTCATACAACTCA